AAAGCAAGTACGGGGGTGCATGAGATGCAGGGCATGTGTGAGAAACGCATTAAACCAGTGGGACTTTACCACCAGTCTTTGACACCTTGTCTGTGAAAGTTAATAGCTGATACAGATGTGTGGTGAAAGCTTCTATTAAAGTATGGGAGGTCTTGCTCGTGAAGAGAGACTGAAAAAGAAAATGATGAGTAGTATAGATACAGTGGTAAGAATGTTCCTCATTCTAAAACACGGCGGGGGGAAGAACAGTTTTGCCTTTTCAAAACTTACTGGAACTTCTTCATAGATTGGCCTGTGGAATTCTGGGTTACAGTCAAGAGATCTGTTTAAAAAGGCTTTTAAAAGTGTCCTTAGTTAGGTGGATTTTTCTGTTTTGTTGAAGAGAAATTCATAAATTGAAATATATTCTTTAATGCATAATTAACCTGTAAATGCTGAGGAATAAATGTCTCTTGATTGTTTGTTTGTTTCTTTTGTGCGTTGTTTTGTAATATGTATTATTGACCTCTTCTGGAGACAAAGCAGAGTACAAGAACGCTTTTGTGATCCAGAATGACAGATTTGGTCCTCCATGATTACTCTTCTACCATAGACTAAATAGATTATATATTAGAGGCTTATAGGGTCTTCAGGATTAAAAATAACAATTACAAATTAGCCATTGCATAGATTTTTTTTTTTCCTCTCTCTTAAATTTCACTTACTTAACACGACTTTCTTGTATTTTGCCTTCTCAGATACGTAATTCTTCTGTTTTAAAAAAAGAGCACCCCCCAACTTGTTTTTAATATATGCCAAGAAAATGAATGGAAGTAAATGATTTGAAACAAACATGTTCTTGAAATGCACTGAAAATACAGTGGGTCTTGGACTCAATGGGAGTACTTGGTTAGTTCAGGCAAAAGGCATCTGTCATTTCTTGGCTGGATTTTTATATCCATTGCAAGTGCAGTCAGCACACAGTTGGCAAGTAATTTATTTCTGGCCTCTGTTAATGAACTGCCTCCTATCAAACACCTACCAAGCAGCAGTATTAAGCTACTTCTCAATGATTTGCTAGTAATTTTTCTGTTTACCTTACCTTGCGTGGAAAACTAACTATGTAACGTAAATGATAAAAGACACATAGCTGAGAAGTCAGCATTAATTACTACTACAAAGACAACTCGGTTTTTAGTCCCTGCTCCTCAAGTAGTTGAGCTGATGTGGACATCTTCAGCAGGGTGCTGTGGTCCCGTTTGTCTTCTCGCAGGCAGAGTGAGAAGTGAGCTTCATGGACATCTTTTGTATGAACTTCCTTCTCCATGTTGTCAAGAGTTGCAGAGATCTTGCACCAGTGAGGAAGCCCCAAAGGCTGTAATACCCTGGATGAAGATGTAGATAAGGCTTCAGGTGTGACGTAGCAGCAGATGCACTTGCTTTTATGAATTCAAGTTGAACGCAGAATATGATGTAGTGTGTTATTTCGGTGAAGAGAAAGGGTATGGCTGCTGCTGCTCTTCTCTTGCTTTGGTAGCTCTTGTGTCTGCTCTTTGTGAATCTTTGTGCGATAACTGGCGTGCACCCGGGAGAGACAGGGACAGAAAGAGTACTACAACTAAAATCCACTGCTATACAGTTGGGACTTTTTCTGCTTTCTCTCAAACCAAGTTAAACTGAGATCGTTACAACATTGCAATAAAACTGTGTTAACAGGCTGAGCCACAGATGGTTTTGATGTGCTGTGTGTAATGACTACCTAAAGACAAATCATGCTTTCAAAATAGAATGTAATTTTTTTTGCACAATTTTATTCTTCCCTGTAAGTTTACGGGGGAAAAATCCACACAAAAACAAAAGAGGAAATGAGGGAGAATGAAACTAGATACACAAACTACTCTTGTATGCAAATGGCACATGTTTTCCTCAAATATGTTTCAGTTAAAGTAATCTTAGAATTTTACACTTGTAATAGTCATGGATTAAAAATTTGTAGAAAGAAGTTTATTGGGGTGGTTTGTTTGTTTGTTTTGGTTTGTGTTTTTTTTTGGTGTTTCGGTGTTGTGTTTTTTTTTTTTTTTTCCCCTGTAAGTTCAATGCTGTTGCTTTAAATAGAATGACTGCCCGGTGTCCCTTCACAAAGAATAACAGCAGCTCTTAAAGGGACACTGTCAGCATCAACCTTAGTCTCTCCCTCTGTGTGTGTGCTCTCTCTCTTTTTAAAAAGTATGTTCTGGTACGTTTTTTAGTGATGCTTAGGATGATTTTCTCTTTTCTGACTAAAGATAATTACCAAGAGCCTCTTTGGTAATTGAGACACAAAAATATATGTAGAGAGACACAGCTGCACGAAGGTTAGAGTCAATGTTTCTTTATCTGCTGAAGTCAGTAAGACTACTAAAAATTATTGTGAATCTAATACAGAAGTATTGAAATGTAGGGCAGGAAGAGACCTGAAGAGATCATGTTTTATGTATTCCATCACCTTAAAAAAAAAAACAACCCATATTTTTTTTTTTGTCTAACCTGTTCTTTAAAATGTTTAAGTAACTATTTTATATCTTAAAGATACTGATTGACCATGGTTGACATAAAAAAAAAGCTATTCTGTCCTACGCACAAAGAATGATTGACAGCCATCCGTTCTTCATATATTAAAGAGTAATTTCTCATTATTTCTCCCTTGTTCTTCTTCTTTTCTTGTTTAAAGTAAACCCAAATTATTCCTAATTACTTATGAGTGCTAGACCCATGTACTCTCAAATATATTTATTTGATGCAGGTGATATAAAAATCTGAAATGTTGTAGCTATTAAATATTATTCGTACAATATATCTCTTCTTCTTCTCTCCTTCTTGCAGCTGATGTTCTTCTTAAAGCATTTTTTCTTTCACTCAGAGGAATCTTACGTTCATACAGAAAGGATTATCTGAGCCAGGACTCTCCATTGTTCTCAATCTGGAGTTTCCATTTTCATTTACAAAATGTTCTGGTTCATCTGTCCATCTGCAGTGAACATCATCATCTGCATCAGTCTAACGGATTCACGTTTGCCAGCTTGAGTTTGCAGGGAGCCTGCAAGAGCTGTCCAATTCTCTAACCCCATTACTAGAAGTGACTTGAGCAGTTCTATCCTTTTAAAAATAGGAACACTGCACAGTGTAATTTTTTTTTTTTTAAAGGAGTGAAACCTCAGTGCAGGTGTCTCATGTAGCATGCAGTGTTCTGAAAGTACTGTATGTCTGTCTTATCAACTGATACAAGGCAAAGCAAAACTCATTTTGTCATGCTGTGCTGTGCATACGTATAAATACTAGTCTGTTAAGATTTTTAAAGGCAGGCAAATAAAAATCATTGTCTGAACTGGGGCATATTGAAAGATTGCTCTGCTGTCCAGTCACTGATCCATAGCATATGATACGTTTTAACATGGTTTTGTAGCTGGGTAATCTACTTCATCTAGAAAGTGTTCTAACAAGCTGCTATTTTTCTGATACCTGTCAAAAATTGACAGATACTGACTAATGAAAGCTCTTCTTTCTTGATTCCAATATAATAACTAGTAAGCAAGCAATAACAACAACATAATATTAGCATTAATTGGAAATACAGGGAAGGAGGAGAATCAATATTTGCCAGTGGAACAAGGGAGGAGAAGAATCTGTAGGAAAAAATAGTTAAATGCTTTTTCTAAGAGTAATGCAAATAATGAAGGAATAAAAACTATTTAGAGAACTACTTGACATTAAATTTTACCCCTCTCATCTTTTCGTTTTTGAGCTAGGACACTCAAAACCTGAAACTTATTCAAGTTTCAACATGTTTCTGTGATCTTATGGTTGTTTTATGTTTGTACAGTTTTAGGCTCTCCTCTTGCAAATATTTGTGGAAATGTGGGGGATGTGAGGAGGATACGATACCTGTTACGTTTGATGTGATTGTTCTTATGCATAAGGTTTCTTTTATGTGAATATTTATTTGCAGCACTTCTAGGTCTTGATGCTCTGTTACTGTAGTCTGTGGTGACACGAGACCTTAGTTTTACAATAGCAATTTATCATGCCGTGGCTAAAAATTGGTAAATAACCCTTGAGTATCTACAGCCTGTAGAGGAGTAGAGCTGCCTTTGCATTTCAGGCTTGTAAAAGAAATTTGCTGCTCTATTAATAGTGAGCAAATTGAAAACGTTAGTCAGAACTTAACTGTTTTCTTACTCTCTCTCCCCCCTGCCTTTCTTTTCAGTGATTTTTTTGAACGCACCATTCTGTGCAACAGCCTTGTGTGGAGCTGTGCTGTCACAGGTAAACCAGGACTCACATATCAGGAAGCACTGGAATCGGAGAAGAAAGCCAGACATAATCTTCAAAGTTTTCCAGAGGCACTCATCATTCCAGTTCTCTACTTGGCCACCCTTACCCATCGCTCCCGACTTCATGAGATCTGTGACGAAATCTTTGCTTATGTCAAGGACCGGTATTTTGTTGGTGAAACAGTGGAAGTAGTTAGAAATAATGGTGCAAGGTAAGTATATTTAAAACTAAGTGTGTATTTCTCGTTGTTTGGTGTGGATGTTTCTGGAAATTGCTACCAAAGATCAGGATAACGAACTCCATCAAGCACACCAGAAGTGAGATGCGATGCTTAAGGCAGTGATACTGTTACTGGTCCTACTTGCTTTAATTAAGAGTAGAGTTGTATTGCTGGGCTTGGGATCTCTTTCCTTAGCTTAGAAGCAGCTGTGGAGGCAGTAGAGCTCTGTCAGGTCTTGACACAGCAGTGTTTCAGTTGGAGTAGTGGATTTGCAAAGGAATGTCAGTCCCTTGGTGTATTTTTGTGAGAAAGGTGGTTTGTTTGTAGAATGATATTTAATTAGAATGAATTAAAAATCATGTAAAAGTTTTGATGAAATCGTGCAGAATGCAATTCATCACGGGGTGTTTTGTGTACTCAGAATGGCCAAACTATAGAAAGCTTAAAAAATTGATGAAAGTTGCATTTTTGGTTTTTTAGGTAGTGATGAAAATTGCAAGTGGATTCTCAGAAAAGTTGGGAATTAGTTGTAAAGTGTTTGTAATAAGTGATTGTCTGGGATTTAGTGTGTTTTTTTCCCACTCAGTGCTATGCTTGACTCTTTTATAATAATGTATATTTTGCAAATGTTTTTATTGTTATCTTAAACTGATTAAAAATATGGAAAGCTTCAGATGCTTTCTCGTATCACTAGTGCATATGCTCTATAGTATAAATAAGTTTTTCTACAACACGTACCTAGCTTGAGTCTTTCTTAAACTGACTTCTGGGAGAGGACTAGAAGAGGTGCGTGTTTTGTCTAAATTAGTTTGCAGTTTCTCCTAACTGAGGTTTAAAATGGAAAAGATTTAAATATGCTTAACTTGGAAATACCTGCAGAATGAGTGCTAAAACCTTTGAGTTCAGCTGTTGCTGTTTGTTTGTGGAGTTGTTTTGGGTTTTTGGGTTTTTTTGTTGTTGTTGTTGTTTTTTGTTTGGGTTTTTTTAGTTTGTCTTTTGTTTTTTCTCCTGGAAGGAAGGTGCTAGCTTGCACTGCAGAGTAGACTGGGCACAACCTATTGGTTTCTGTGGGTAGCCCGAGGTCTTGACATAATCTGGTGTATAGTTGGTGATAGAAGTGGGCTGGTTCAAAATGGTTGTCAGAGAAGATAGTTTTTCTGTATGGGGTTTATTAGTGGCTGATCCAGATGTTATTTAAGACAGATTTTTAATTCCTTATGTAGGACAAAAATTTGTTGATGTGCTGCAGGAGATAAATTGTAAAGAAATTTGTATGGGTATGTACATAAGGTTGGTGCTTAATAGAAAAACTTTCCATGTCTTCCCTGCTCTATTTGTTTCAATCAGTGAAGTCCCAGTCTGCAAAGCCATGGTAAGCTAAGTTCTGTTGAGATGATGATGTGATACGATTCTACTTCATGAAGATAGATTTATCGTTTTTTACCAGCCTTTAATTCAGTCGTCTTGGCTGTTCAAAATTGTGTTGAGAATAAATATCTAACAATTTTGTTTGTTTCACTTACACAGATCAATGTATTAATAGGATATAAGCTAGATTTCTTAAGCCTTTGGGGTAGGCTAGATATCATTCACAATACCGAAGATTCAGATAAAATCTATTTCCATCAAAAACGGACATGCTAGAGATTGTTTGTTTTAAACTACATAAGTATAAATTTGCGGCTGTTAAAATGAAGCATGAGAAATTCTCTTTAGCTGATTGTATGCCACTGATGTTCTAGACAAATGTATAGCAGAGAGCTAGTTCAGACCTTTAACACTGAAGTGCAGGAAACAGTGCAAATAACACGGTAATGCAGAGGGATTTTTGTGCTTCGAGATACATAATTAAAGAATACAAAGTGGGACGAGGTGAGGCATAGTTATTCTTCTGCCCAATTAACAGCTGACTTTGACCTATATTTTGGACTACTACATTGGGGATTAAGTATACCAACTCATGTTACTTGTAAATAACACAGCTGTTCAACAGAGGGATTTGCATGTTTGTTATGTGCAGCTACGTTTTTGTGATCTTTTCTAGCAAAAATGGTCACAGTCCATCTATAGTGAAATAGCATCCTATGAGACCAGCAGAATTTGGCAGATCGTGAAAACCTGTTTGTGTCATGGTGTGATGAACTATTCCACTGCGTTTATATATGAAGTTTTTTGCACATGTAACGTCAGCAGCATCATTTGTTATCTGAGCTCCGCGCATTGTTTAATGCGAAGCCTACAACATAACGCATGTGTAACCAGTGCTTGCTCAAGCTGTTTAAGTATTGATATCTTATAACTACTAACTTTGCACACATAATATTCTTGTAGGCCAGATTGCTTTGATGCAGCTTTGTAGATTTTGAACAAAGTAGGTGGGAGGCAATCTGAACACTAGAAGGGTTAGCATTTTGGCTTACTGTAGATGTTTTTATCTTGAGCATATGAAGTAGTCCATAGTACTGTAAGCAATGGACAGGTGATCTAAAAAGAGTGAGAGGGCAAATGCTTTGTGCAGAGGCTAGGCAGAAGAAGATTTTTTTTTTTTTTTTTTTTTTTCGAGACCCGTGGTTCTTATATCTACGCATGTGTTCTGGTTGTTGCAGAATCTGATGTCCTGTTGCCTTTTCTGGTCTTATGTCCTTATCAAGCTCTTCTTGTTTCTAGCCTTTTGTTTTGCTGCTCAGTTTTGAACTCAGCTGCTTCTGCCTTGTTGCTGAGGTCTGGTAGGAGGAACTTGGAGAGTTGGGGAGATACTCTGTCTTCCTGTTGTTTTGGTATGTCTGGTGTCTTAACAGCCCTTATCAACCAGAACAAAATTGAAGAGAACCCCCCCCCCCGGTCCTATGATGTGGTGTGTTCAGGCAGTCTCTGAAAATAATGCATGCAACTTGGTAATCTAGTAGAAGCAACAAGGAGATAATTCTGCTTGCTCTTTAACTCTTTCAGATGATGTATTGATTAAAAACAGCCAGATTTTTTTGTTTGTTATGTGTCCAGCTTTTCTGGCCAACCTGGGTCTGACTTTTCTCCAAAGTGTCAGCTGTGCTATGCTTTAAAACATTAAGTGCTTGGATTCCCGGTTAAAGAACTCTAGGAGTTGTGTAGCAACATTTTCATAGTCCTGCCTTCATAAAAGGCATGATTATTATTTGAGACATCAGTCAGAAACATCATATGATATAGGCAGAAAACTTAATCTCAAATCAAGTTTGTCTGAATTGCCAAGAAATTGAAAACAGCTGATGCTACAAGTGCTGTTAGAATGTCACATTGCTGTTTATGGTAAGTAATTTATTTAAAAAGGCATGGAAATTATTTGAGATTTTGTTGGGGGAGGGGGAGTGAAAATTAGAGCAATATTTCATGTCAACCATGGTCAGTTAAGATGTAAAATAAGCGGCTAATGTTTTAGCTCCCACTTTATTGAAGCAGAGGGAAAACTGACCACATCACTGAAATTGCTTCCCATATTTGTGCTTCAGAACTGAAAGTTTAAGGCCCATACCGTACTAGTTGGTGTTTTGGTTTTCCACAAGGAGCAGCATCTCTTGCAGTAACTTGTCTGTTTGTTGCTGTCTTGGTACCGTGTTGTATTATTGGTACTTAAAACTTGCAAAGTTCATTTTTCAACATCTTGGCACTTGAAATCAGTTACCTGAAAGCTGGAACGATGTGGTGTGGAAGGTGTACCTGAAATAACCTCAGTGAGTTATTGCCTCAGATGCATAAAGTAAAACTTACTACTGCCGAATGCACTCAGCCGTGGGACCTGTTCTTTTCTGCTTGAGGTCAGCAGTGTGTGTTTTTTTTGTAATAATTTTAATTTGTTGGAGGAAAAATTCGATTTAAAGCGTGTATAAACAACCAGTTGTGATTTATCATCAGTATTGAGTCTGGGTGCTATCACAAGAAATAATATCTGTCCTTATATGGGTATACAAGTGAGCAGTGCGATAATTAGTTAATTGATCTATAAGCTTGCAGTCAGACTTGAGCAGTGAAGAGATCTGAGGTTTTAGGTTGGACAACTGTACTAGCTCTTCAGCTCCCCCTCCCCCACCCTTAAAAATAGCTTATGTGACAATGCCTTTCCTTCCCCACGGAGGGTGGGGGACAGCCAGTTGTTGTCCAACAATTAGTGTGGAAATTAATTAAAAAGTCAAACACCTGCAGACTAAAATTGGTTGCTTAAAGGTAATGTATAAGAAGAAATCATACAGAATGTGACAGATAGAAAACACGAATATCTTCTTTTTTCATTGAATGCAACCACTAGATGACACCACTGCAAAAGAATGCTTGCCTAATGTCTGTGAGCAAGTGACACCATTTACTTCTGTAAGTAAGTTCATTTTTAAAACACTATGTTCTCTTAAAGAATGTAGTAGATGAAGTTCTCTGTTAGGAAGCTTGCTGCATCTGACCACACATTAGGTGTAGGTTAACATCCTTTCTCAGCTTTGACTGATCTCATGTTGACCATTGCCAAGCTGTAGGAAACTCAGATAATCATAGAGCAACCTTGTCTGTAAGTGAAACTTCTTTTTTTAACTCATCAATTGTTTGGCTGGTGTCCCAGTGCTTTAGGACTGTTCATAGTGGATTAACCACTGCATTAGGCCAATTAAAAGATTTGCATACTGTTTTCATCTCTGTAAGTCTTAACTGGGGCACAGGAAGTGTGTTGCTGGTCATGACTATGTCTAGCTGATACAGAGTTAGGATGGTAGAAGATAATCCTGTAAGAGAGAAGGTAATAGCTAATTTTCCAACTTTTTCATTCAACTCGCACAAGGTATTACTTGCTTATATAGAGAGAGAGCTGTCTTCTGAGCACTAGGGTAAGTTAATAGAAGGCCAGTAGGTAATAAAAGGCAAAGTGTCTTCCATGTTTAGACCCTAATGAGTTACAGTGAATTTAAATTATTTTCTAATCCACCAACAAATTTTCCCCTTTGACATGTAGGCTTCAAAGGAGACTGGATGCA